TCGACAGACTCGAGCTGCTTCTTTTCTTCCTCGCTTTCAGCCATTTTTGCCACGATGTTCTTGGTGACACCCCAACCATTCACCTGGCAACATGACTTTCAGCATAGTTTCGTGACAACGAGCCCTGTAACATTGAACCCAGAAGGTGCATTTCAGCCCATGGGTGCTAGAATTTTCAAACAACCTAAACCTGTCAATAGGAATCCCTGCAATTGCAACCCCTTTGGGGCAACTGATTATAGTGCTCTATATTATACATATATATATATTATAACGGTAGGATGTGTCTCGACACGAATTAGTGCCACCAAGATTATGATGGTTAAAGAATTGGTTCCCAGACATGTGCAACCTTCCCAACATAGTAGTTGCAACCTTCCCGACAAAGCAAGTTCGCCCAGGTGTTGGGTGCACTGACGTCTGCCGAATAAAAATTGTAAATGATGGCCTTCTTCATAGAGAGAGAGAGAGAGTGTATTTTGGAATGACACCTAATACCAGGCAGTCTGGCAGAGTGAGCAGAAGTTTCCCCCGATGCTTTACCTATAGGAGGATTTCTTGGGGGGGAATGTGATGAGCTGATGTGTGAGGCCATCTTGTACTGGTTTTGAGGTGCCATGTAGTGGTGTTGCCGCATGTCAAGTGACATGGGTAAAGCGACGCGCCGTTATTTGTTGTGTGAAGAGGTGGTGCGTCCTGACTGCTGAAGTGTCGTGTGATGATCTGTGGTTCGATAAAGTGGCGGTGAAGGGTTAGTAGAGATATTTGAGATATCTACAGTAATTACTGTACCTCTCTAATCCTTCTATGTCTTTTTCTAGAAGTCTTTGCCTCACGCAGCCTTCCCAATGTCTTTCCAAATGAGAATCTGTGGCCACATCAACACCTGTGCCCATCGCAAAAAGAGCGCCAAGACCGTGCCGAGTCTGTCTGGCACCCGTTCCGCTCACCGAGCATTTCCGAGGTTGGTGACTTGTCACAAATACGTTCCCCCCCAAAAGCACCAGCCTTGTGGGTTCTCTTTCTTTTGCAGACACGCAAACGCACACTCGATGGTTTCCTCGTACTTCGGAAGTTCCTCTACCAAATTTTAGTTGAGGACGTAGATAAATGCTTACCACGTGTGTCGCTCATCTTTGCCTGGCCCTAACAATGGGCTATAATGGGCTGTGTCATGCGTCTCTGGGTAGGTAGTTGCAGTGTCTGTCCTTATTTTGTTCTTGTTGCATTCCAAGACACACAAAATTCACAAATGTCGCAATTAAAAGCATATCCTGTACTCAACAACAAAGAAACCAACTGACCAACACCCTCATGTCTTTCCATCGGGAGAGTGGCTCCACACGTCTGTTCGGTACATTTATCAAGGAGCGAATGCGTTTCGTCTTTGCGCCTGCTTCAAGCCACGACTGCAGCTGGCCCAAGCTTTCACAGCGTCTTGGAAGGAAGCCCCCTCAATGGCCGCATTGAATGCCTCGACTTCAACTGTCTTGGGAAATGACCAAGTTGTGGTTGTGGTGGTCGCGACTGTTGTTTTCATCACACAAATGAAGGACTGAACATGCAACGGGAAACGATCGTCTGCGACAGGACCTTCAGACAAGACAGGACCAACCCAAAGGAAACAGGTATGCCCAGGCACATGATGACAGTGTGACGGTCATGTTTTCCTGGGTTTGGTGACTAGTCTTCAATGATTCATGGCTCGGTGCACCTTGAGACCCTTTTGGAGTTCGCCATTGTGGCAGTAGACCTGGAAGTCGGTGCGGCTCAGGATTGGAAGTAAACCACTCGACTCCAGATGCTCAACGTCTATTTTCACGAAAAAGGCATAAGAGACACTAAGGAACCAAACCAAAGAGTTCACTGCCCACTGCTGTCATCAGCAAGTACAAATATCAAGACACACTTTTGACAACAGGCTAGAAAACGCGATTGTTTGCTCAACAGTCCACCTTTCAAACACGAAAAGGATAGAAAAGGGTGTTCCAGCCTGGCAGCGCATTAGGTTGAGCCCTTTCAGTTCATCAGCATCGTCGGGATCTGTGATGTCAGTCACCACAGCCAGGGCTTGCCGAAACCTGAGCAAAGCCGCACGGGTGCCACACAGGCCGCTCTTTTGCCACACATGAGAGGCACGATACATGCAGTCTGCAAACGACAGACCATGTCACTGTGAGCCACCCCTTTGCGGCAAATAAGCCCTCCGCTTCTCCAAATTCATTGAGGCCTGGAGGGAAAGGACGACTTTGGGTGGGCTAAGGGTATATTGCAGATTCTTGCATCACTTGGACCTTCTCTTTCTCCAATCCTAGGTTTTGGTGCAATGGTGATTCTCGACATGCCTTGGCAAGCGTCGCTAGGAATTCATAGCGGTCCTCTTTGGATTCCAGTTCCTCAGAACAGACCATGCAAGTTTTGTGTATCTGCCGAAGGCTCACCGTGTGATTAGGACATGTTACGTTCCAGAGTCTTGACGTTCGATCTAGCCACGCAAAGGTTGAGATTCCAACTATCAGCAAATATCGTCTATGTTTGCATACATCCAGCGTACAACTACTTGCCTACAAATTGCCTGGCTACCAAGTTATTGGCGTCAAACTGCAATGGCCGCTCCGTTCAACACAAAGAGGTGGAGAGGCTGAATATCACAGGTTTATACAGGTTTAGCGAATTCACTGGCACTTCTCTTTTCGTGCCCCTCTTTGATCAACCGTTTGCAGCCACAGACAGGTTTGTACGCATCCGAGGACGTGGCACTCACCCGCTTGAAGCCCCGCAGCATGACCTGGACTGCTAGCAGGGTCTCTTAAAGAGAAGCAGCAGAACAACGAGGTTCGCTTGCATTGACCAAGAGGCATTACAGCAGCGATCCCATTGCTCATCAGCCGCATAGGCCTGATACAAAGCCAGACCGCTGGCAATTGGTGTTTGAGTTGGTGCTTTCGCTTTGCGCCTTTCCCAGTCCAAAGATCGCCTGGAGGTTGAAAGGATCCTGGCGCATTGAACAAAAATTTGAGTTGGGAGTCAAAACTTCTTCGTGTCCGCACCTGACCCTGTTTTAGCACAAGCTAAGTGGGGCGCCTGAAAAACCGCAGGGTAAAGGCGGAGCACCCTTTCCGCGCAGAACAACACCACACCGGACCTTGCCAGCCTTCTTTTACTGCCGTCTGGCTCCCTTTCCCGCCGCATTTGCGCGCAGAATAACACTGGCTAAGGGCTTGTCGGACCACGCCGGAGCTTGCCAACCTTCTTTTACTGGTTTCGAAGCTGCCGTCCGCCGTCTGGCACCTTTTGCGGCCGCATTTCCCCCCTATCCGTCCTTGGGGTCCGCAGTACCCGGGCGTCAGCCCGACTTATTTTGGGTTGGCCCCTATCAGTTTCCAGTGCTTTGGAATGCAAGCAAAAAGCTACTTTTAATCAAGAAAGGATATGGGTACAGGGTTGGCCCCTATCGGTTTTGCAAGGTTCTGATCCATTCAGAAATACTTAAGGCGGCTCATGACTAAAGTGACTAAAGTACATGGAAGTTTTGTCGGATGCTCACATGAGCCACGCCAATGCTTCCACCAATTGCTTCGCTTCGTCCTCGTTGAGTTGATCTTTATACTTCTTCGCTTCGTTGGAGGTCCCAGGCTTTGGAGTCCTTGAAGAAGGTGAAACCAAGCGGAGCAGGGAGGCTCGGTTGGACGCCGGAACAACGCTGGGACAACCCTGTTAACTCACAATTGCATATGACGAAGACAGTACACAGGCATCATGCTCATCACATTATCACGTAGATGCGCAAGACATTGCAAAACAATGGTTTGCAACTACCACCTAGATTTGCGAAGTAGAAGCACAAAAATCCCAAGCAAATCTGGAAAGGGTCGTCTTCATCTGCTTCATGAGCGACCTCGGGTAAACAGCCGGTTTAATTGCAGCTCCTGAATGCAGCTCCTGAAGATATACGAAGGGCCAAGGAACGACAATTTCTCTTTGTGATGTATTTTGTTGCTAGTAGCTTCTTGTTACTAGTAGCTTCTTGCTCCTAGTAGTACGGCCAGGAGCCCCTAGTAGCGTCCGCTGCTCCTAGTAGGGCCAAGGAACGACAATTTCTCTTCCACTTGCTTCTTCTGCTCTGGAGACCATTCCCCGCTATCCGCATCTCCTGTGTCCTCACAGGTTCAAAGGCAAAAAGAAACGATGCAAATGACGATCCAGAACCAACCTGCTGGTAAGGCACAAGTTGTGGCTTAAAGAATGGTGCTTAACCCAACCAGTAAGTGATTACCAACTCCAACATGCTCCAACTGTTTGACTTCGACTCTAACATGTGATGCCTTTTGTGATGCTGACCCAGTGGACCCGTCCTCGGTCACCTCCTTCTCTCCACGTCGCTGGCGCAGCTCTGACATCGTGAAGTCAACACACACACACACACACACAAAGGGTCGAAACGCAAAAGGGGAAAACATCCAAAAATGACCAAAATATGTCATATTGGTGAGGAAGTCGATGTCATGAAGCTTTGTTGCCCATGTTTCCCTGACTTGAGCCACCAACCACGGACCACCCCAATCTGGCTCTAAGTGCAGCTTGTGCACTGAAAGCCCAACAAATGTCAACTGGGGGGAGGCTTAATTGCTGTAAAGTGTGTGTGTGTGTATATACTATATACTCCGGTGTGCCTGTCGGCCATGCCCAGAACATCTTAGAAGCTTAAAACTTAGACTTCAGTTTTCTGCAAACATGCAATGTCATGCAGCAAGTTGCCTGGCGGGGACCCTAAATCGTTTTTTACTAATGCTGAAACTATATTACTCTATATAACCTCCAATCCAAATCTGAATATCATGAATGCAGAGCTCAGGGCCTTAAGAGCCCTGAGGTGCCTGTGCCATGTGAGGACCATGACATCTGGAGCTGAAGCCGACTGAGGCTTTTAGCATTCGGACGGGTGTTGAGTGGAACCAGTTGCTTGGCGATGGGCTGGTTGTCAGACTTCGTCCGAGGTCCTTCGCCCAATAGATGTTCTTCAAGAGGTCGCGCTGATTATCTCAGTCCGAAACGCTGGGGACACCCAGCATTTCGGCACGTCCAGGAGCATCAGTAAACATGCACAATTCCACTGTCACCAAGTTATTTCATGCTCATCTCTTGAAATCGAGGTCATGCGTTTGGGAACTTGAAATATGCCACTTCACCCAAGAAATTGATGAGCAAGGATGAGCCTCTGATTTATTTGTCCTTGTTTGCTATTTAATTTGATCATATTTGCAGTCTCAAAAAGACCTCTGACAATCCTTAAGCCTCTGAGGGTTTGGCTCCTAGCGACTTCTCTCTGCAATCCTTCGGAGATGGTACTCCGTAGGAGGGTCTCCTGGCTGCAAACAAACATGAAAAGTATTGTACAACAGAGTCTATGCATCAATCGCCCTATCAATCCTAAGAACCACAAATAGTGCGAGCGCTTCCTCCAGGAAGCTCCCCCCGCCCTCAGGCGGGGGGAGCTTTCTTGAAGCGTGAGCTATCCTGCGTCCACTTTGCGGCAGTTTAGGACCAGATAGCCAGATAGAGCTGCTAGCTAGCTTACCTCTAAAAAGGAGGGTTGAAATGGGTTGAAGCAAGTTACCACACCACGTCGGAGCTAGGCTCCTGCATCTTTTGCTGCTTCGCCACCACACATTCATGCATATATCTTCGCATCCTCACCTCGGTGCCCGGAACACACGCTTTGCCACCGATTTCAGGGCTCAGCCCAGGTCTGACATCGCGGTCTGACAGCCCAGGCTGCCGTGCTCGCAAGTCTCTTGGCAAGCCTCGAGACTCCATCATTTCGTTCAACTCATCCATATTTTGCTTGAACTCCACCTGAACAAGTCTGGACTCCTGTCACTCCTGTCAAGACTCCTATTCCCAGCTGGTTATTCAATTTGGCCTCACTGCTGAGAGCACGCAGGCTCTAGCCCGTTTGGATCAAGGCTATTTCAGTTGAAGAACACTCACTGAAATACTCATGAGTAGAGGATCCAAGAACATCTTGCAATTTGGTGCTAAAACATGCTGAAACCAGCTTCTCAAGTGTTCTGAACGTTTCGATCAGAATTGCAGGCAAGCGACTGAGGTGTCCATGGTGTGAATCAAAGAAACCACGCTACCTCCAACATGTGCGAGCATATTAACCAACGACAGGTCCGGTGATCGGAAGATGTGGCAAGATGTGCCAAGGCTATTGAAAGCGGTACGGAAGAAAAACAGTAGCTTCTCTCGACACTCAGCTTGAGACCAACGATATATGCCCAGACCAGCCCAGAGATCATCATCAAAATGGCACAGACCTGGAATTCAAGCGGGTGCCAAGCAGGGTCCAAGCAGGTGCCAAGCAAGAAACAAAAACTACAAAACAATTACAGTATGCAGTAAATTGCAATAATAAGAACTCCTTTTTCGACCTGAGATCTTCGCAGTGTATTCCACTTGGTTCTGCGGAGTGACCTTAGCACGTTTGGGCAAACGATCCGTATGACCAACATGTCCGAAACCATGAAGGAACATTCCTGGAACTGGTTGCAAAACTGTTGCGAAACCAAAGTTGGATACTTCCAGGGAAACCGTTCCTCTGATGTCCAAAACCTTGATTATCATTGATTATCAATTCAATGTACTACCTCAAAGGGTAGCATACGTCCGATGTCAAGATTCCGTTGGCAGAAAGCACCAAGTTGGAAGATCTCAAAGTTCGCGTCTCTTCAGAGCTCAGACCCCTGCGTCACCATAGCCAACCTTAGATTTCCAAGCGGCCTTTTTGTTCAAGACGTCGAATCATGTACTCAGATGTACTCAGTATGTGTGGAATATACTGTGGAATATTTACTGTGGTCAACTAATACTCCGTGCCCGAAAACGTGCGGAAAACCGCTCATCCGCACGGCCTCATGTGGCCTACTGGTCCTTGCGGCCAAGTTACGCTCGTGAGCGTCATCACGGCCCAGTAGAGCGACAGCCAATAGACGCACTTGCTATCCTCACTATAGACGGCCCAGTAGCCGCTAAGAAGAGCCGAGTTGTAAAGAACTGGTCTTAACTGGTGTTCCATGGTTTTCCTGCTGTATTCGTTCTTCTGTGTATGAGAAAGCTGCTACTGCAAACACACGAGATCCTAATGCATCATGAGGGTGGGTTGCCTTTGCTTCCACTTGGTCCCATCCTTCAAGTCCACATTGGGATGTTGCAAAACCTACCAGCCCCATCCCGTCCTGCGCAGCGGATGGATTGCAGGGATCTCCCTGGCATACAAGCTATGAGTTGTCTCATTCCCCATAGAGAGTTTTGGAAAACATGCTGTACATCAACGCGCCGCATGATCATCAAAACAAACGGCCTCGTGTTAATGAGTTCTGAGCTGGTTTCGACCTTGCCTTGGACTCTATGATCGCTGATAGCCTAAGACACAAAGGAGCTTGAATCACTGAATCTCAGATGCCCTTAGGACCACTTTTGAAAGCTCTTCAGATGGTCTTGGTTGTGTCAAAGCAGTAAGCACGGCCAAATATGAATCAGAAACATCAGAAACCAGCAGCTGCGATAAAAGGTAGAAATTAAAGATATATACTCTAATTTAGAATCATGTCAGAATTTCACAAGAATATTGCCTTTGGTCAACGCTGTTGCCAGGAAGGGCTCTGACCATGTGTGCCCAGAGGTGCTGTAACTGAAAAGCCCTTGCCTTAGCTGTGGCAAAACAGGTGCAGCAGGTTCAGCCACACGATGTGTGAATCCCGGACTTCTCGGCTTCAAGTTGTTACTACCAGTAACAAGAAGCTACTAGTAACAAGGTGCATCGCTGCTAGTAACAAGGGCATTACTGCTAGTAACAAGAAGCTACTAGTAACAAGTTTATCACTGGTCCTCTCTGGCAAAGGCTACTGGTGGCCATTCTTGCAATACCAGTACAATCGAATACATACATCAGGAGTTGATTTTTTTGTCACTGATTGGTTCCCCCAGCACGGAAATGGCATGTCTTTCCTCCAAGGTGCGTCACTTTGCCTTCGATGGCCACCCAAGTACAGGCAAACCTGGGTTCGCTGCGGCTCTGTCTTCTGCAGACCCTGTGACAGGGTTCCTTTGGATTCCTTCCAAACGACTTCAGCATAAAAACATATATAAAAACTCTCTCTACACTTTACTGCCAACACTCTGAGGGTCGAGTTGCAAGTGCGGCCAAGTTGCAAGTGCGCAGTGAGCGTCAAAATGAAAAGAAACTTCATGAAGTCGATGACAAGGTATGAGAACCTGATTTCCCCAAAGTATGAGCCCTCCTTCACTTGCGAGAATTGGGAAAAGCTCCCTTTAAGTCAATGGGACACCGTTGCTCAGAACGGCTTGGAAGGTCTTACATGGCCAGTTGTTGAGCAAATTGTTGATCATTTTTCCAACCTCTCTCATCCAGGGAGCCCAAAGGACGCTTGCCAGCGGCTCATGAAGCGCCAAAGTCTTGGGAGGTTCAGCATCCTGGAGAGCAGACACCGGTCGTGGGACTGCGTACTTAGGGGGTTGAGGTTCACTGAGAATCTCTAATGACAATCTCTAATGACCCCCTAGAAATCTGCAAAGCGTTGTTTTTACCTTGTTTTTACAGTTGACCTGCGCAGTTCCGGCCGCGTTTTGAATACAAAGTAGTTACATGGAGTTTGCAGGCCGAGAAGTGTACGCGGCAGCGCAACAAACAGGAAGACATGTGCTATGAATCAAGTGGGGCCCTTCAGAGGAATCGCCCTCACTTAAACCTGAAGAACAACAATGAGAAACGTGACCATTGACAGGTGAAACCTGTGAAGCTGCTTGCATCAGCCATGCCCTCGCCTGAACATCTTAAGAACGCGAAGAAGGCCTGAGGAACAGTCGGGCAATGAAGCCAATTCATTGAAACATTCCGAAAATGTCCGCGGTCTTTTTCCATGCCCGTAGAGCGTGCGGCAGCGTTTGCAAAGACCTTGTGCTCTTAATTGGGCAAAAGCTTGCCGAGCGTCGATAATACCCCTAGCTAGCATCATGTACTTGACTTCCTCTGGTAGCACGCCCACGTTGTATGGGACGGTCGTGGGGAAAAAGCAGTTCAAAGGTTAGTGGTTTGTTTTCTACTAGGGTGGAAGCCATCACTATTGGGTTGGAGGCCATCGCTAATAGTGTGTTATGTTTTATTTTTAGAGGTTTCGGGTCGCTACGGTGGGTCAACAGTAGGAGCCAAAGTCTATCTTCAAACACAGCAATAGTTAGTGCACAAGTAAACAAAATGAAAATTTAAGAACCAGGAAAAAAAACGTTTCGGGGTCCCTTGAATTATGGCCTGTAAGGAGCTTCATTGAAGGGCCCACAAACAGTCTGTTGTCTTTTCTTTGAATCTCCTTATTGTATCATTGAGCATTATGCGAGTGGATCTTAATCAGCGAAGTTTGAAGCTATCACTGACGATCCATAAGCGGCGTAGCGTCGGAACGGAAACCGCACCTTTTCTAGTCGCTTGATCCTTGAGCCAAAGTACATATGGTACATATATATGTACAAGTTGCACTGTACGTGTCGCTGCACTTCCATTCGCACCCCCCATGTGAACGGCAACAATATGTTCCGATCACACACGAAAATTTAGGGATGTAAGTGCTACAAAAGAAATTGTATGATTTGCCGCGAGACTCATATGAGGCTCATACTACGAAACATGCTGGACTAAAGCGGACTTTTACATATAAAGTGTGCAACTATGGCTCAGAACCTATGAAAATCGAATTGAACAAGTGAGACAGTCACGAGGCCTCGCTCAGTATCCACTCAAAAGAGCATCGCTTTGATGTAGATCCGAACTGGTGACTTCCACGTAGATGTCACATCGGCAACTGACTTCACACTTCTCAAAAGATGTAGGTTTTGGTTTGGATACACTTACAGAACGGCAAGTCGGAGAGACAGTCGGTGACTGTCTGCCTTCCATTATGCTCATGGTATCAAATCGGATTGATGATTTGCAATGATACACTTACAGCGTTTCAGGTCAGATAGACATCCGGTGAATGACTTCCTCCCTGGTTTGCATGGTATCCTCATAGTCGTTCAAAGAAATCACCACTGGCGATAACCTCTCCATCCACGATGATCCCAGCTGCCCTGAGCATCCCGCCGATCATCTTCTCCCTTCTTGGACTTTCCCTTGGATTTGCTCTTTCCCTTCCCCTTTTCAGAAGGTTGAGGTACTTCGCGACGTTCTTGCGTTAGCGCCGGCCTCCAAGATGTTCCAGATTGGCCTCCTCCTTTGGAATGTCCTCGGGATGATGAAGAAGTTGTACCTTCTGCTGCATGTGCGTTGGCGGCAAGATCTTCCTGCAAAGCTTGCTCAAACACATCGGTAGCACTGGATGGTGATTTATCATGTGGTCTGGCTTTTGGAGCAGCCTTCGCCTTGCTCTCCTCTGCTGATGAGGGCCCGAAACTCTTAGGTGCTGTTGAAGGTTTTGGCTCCTCACTTGGTGCTGACGACGGCTTGGCCTCGGTTCTGGGTGTAGATGCTGGCTTTGCCTCAGCTCTTGACGAAGATGCTGCTTTCGCTTCAGACTTAGTCGTTGATGTTGACTTAGCTGTTGCCTTGGCTGCCTGCTTCTTCTTGCCCTGAATCTCCTTGGCCCTATCTCCAAAGCCTAGACGATCGGTAAGAGCTTGAACATGCTTCTGTTCTACCACGCTCATCCATCTCTCTGTATGTCCAATGTTGGGATTTCTGGCCATTGACTCTACGACATTCTGAGCGTGTGGGGGCAACCTGATCTCATGTTGATCAATGATCAGCAGAATAGACTTCTCCCATTTGCTCTTCATTCTCGAGTACATGATGTCCAGAGGATCGATCACCTTGTGGTTGGGTGATGTAACGTCGGTTCTAAAGTAAGAATATGTCCGACAACCATAAATCGCATGGATGCACTTCTGTACCAATTCAGTCATTGCGCTGGCTTTCTTCGCTTTCAACTCCTCAAGCTGGACGTCAGTCAAGTTGGTGGAGTATTCGAAGTTGCCATATTCCTTCTTGAAGGAGTACGGAGTATGACCAAATGATAGGATCACGAGTGCCACCTTGCAAATGAATTGCTCTCCTCTGAATCGGTGCCAGGCCTCCTCAATCGTAATCTTGTTTTCGTTGGCAAAGATTCTCATCATGTCATCTGTTGGATCCAATGGTCTCCCATCGTCATCGATTTCAGTGAAATCCTCTGTACCGAACTTGCTTATCACATCCAGACGCTTCCTTTTCCAATTTGCTTTGAAGTCGGTAAGGCTGGTGCAATAGTAGCTCTTGTACATCAGGGAGATCATGTTCAGCACACATTTGACCACATACCTATCCATCAAACCCGATGCATTCATGGAGACGTCCTGACAGTAGGCTCTCTCTTGATGCGCATAGATTCGAGGTTCCGGTACTCGACAATAGATGGGGAGATCTTCGTTGTCTCTTCCTTCTTCGGGATTGAACTCGGTCGCTCCATGCTGTGCATAGTATCCCGGTTCATCACGATCTGTCGGTCGATTCGCCTCCGGATGTAAGTCGTCGGTGACGTCTTCATCCTCGGGCTCACCATCTTGACGTTTCTTCCCCTCATATTGTTGTGTGCTCCTCTGGATCTCGATGATCACGTTTCGTTCGTCTTCATCTTCTAGATCAGAATCACGACCGTAGTCGATCTCGTCCTCATTGAAAGATGGGGTCTCGACATTGTCACTCTTGAAGTTTTCTGCACCATCAGACGGTTTGGAAGGATCTAGATTGTCCATGTCCTCGTCGTCGTCAGCTGCTTCAGTTTGAGCGATGTCTTCTTCCCAAGCCTTTCTGATCTCGTCCATAGTGGCCTGGTCCAAGATATCTTGATCATCATCTTCAGGCTCCTTCTCTTCCTTCTTTTCCTCTTCATCGTCGCTCACAAGATCAACGGGTGAATCGGAAATGACAGTGTTGCGAATACCACACGAGAGTAGCCTGCCTTGACAAGATAGACACACGGACAAAGATGAAGAAGTCAAATGCATACATGATGGACACAAAATATTGCCATCCACGTTGCGATACCCTTCACATGTTCTGGAGATGATTTCGTCCCAAGTTTCCTCACTGATGGAATCCTCGATCAGCTCTCCATTGTCATCGAATTGTACTTCATCGATAAGGGACACGAGCTTTTGGACGTTGTCATCTGTCGCCGAGGCTGACTTCGTGACTTCGTCGGCTCTCTCGAGGATGGTATGCTTCTGAGCAACCCAAAGTCCATGACGTGCCGCTAGAACAACTTGCTCTCCAGTGCTTCCCAGCAGGAGTCTCCTCCATGCCTGAACGTAGTCGTCCCAATACCAAGCACCTCGTACACATCTCCATGGAACTTCTCTAAAAACAACAGTGTAGGAATTCTCCGAAATTCTTCCCCCAAGCTTCCTCAAAGTCATGATTGGAACATCAAGGCAAACGGGCATTCCCACTCTTGGCCATCTTGATCTCAGAATCTTTGATGATCGATCATCCCACGGCGCAAAGTGGTTGAAGAAAACACTACCTCTATATCCCTCCGTTCCACCAGGGACAATTCCTAGTTTCATGATTGACTCAATATTGGAAAGCGATGTCATGTGAAAGCTTCCTCCAAGCTGCATTGCCACATTCTCTGGAATGAGATGTGAAGTCCACACAGGATATATTGACACATCCTCTTCAAGAACAGTCTCTCTTCCAGAATTGTGAGAGGCAACAGCTCGAATTGCACAAGGAACGATCCAACGTTCATGCTTCAGAAATGACGGTGCATCTGTGCTGTAATACATGAGGTTTGCCCAGTATTGCCTTTCCTCTTCGAGTGAGACATCCTCCCTTGAGATACGAACGGCGGCAATCTGATAGCGTACTCTGTTCTGCAACTTCTTTGCATGCCACATCGCCTTGCATAAATACTGGTATCGCTCTGTCTTGACATCTTGCTCACGTTGATCATCTGAGATAGTACTGATATCGACACCATCGTTGAAGACATGGTCATATTCCAGGATCTCATCGATGTTCACCCATCCACCCTCATTGCACTTCGGGGACACATGAGGTTTTCGACCGCGGTGCGATTGAATCCCATTATGCTTTCCCACTCCATGCCTGAGTAGTCTATTGAGTCTATGGCTAACCTCGTTGCCCCGCTGACTCTCCTCGCTGAACTTGTCGATGCGAGTTGCTGGGTTCATCTTTGGTGGATCCGTGAAAGTTGCATCTCTCTTCGGTCCATTCCAGTACTCCACATAAAATGTAACTCCATACTGTGGAATTATCTCGATGCTTCCTCTATCGCAAGTCACCTCAATCTGCCGATATCCAACCTTTTGAACTTGTTGTGGGTCAGGAGCAAGGTCCTTCACTTTGGGCATCTTTATTCCGAGTGCTGCAGCCTCCTGAATAAGTGCATCAAGTTCCCACTTTCCATTAGGACCTGATCTATCAACCCTGTGATTTGCGACCCTGTACTCTCCTCCTTCTTTGTCATCGGCAATGTCAAAGAGGTCGACGGGCTCTTTGAATCTGGTGACGAAACTGGCGTTCCCAAAGGCCTTCTTGGTTGCCTCGACCGCTTTCGCGTATTCCTCTTTTGCAGAGTCTGACGAGTGTGGTCTACCTTTGGCTCTCGGAGAGTGAGGTGGTACCTTACCTCCTAGTTCCGGTTCTTCTTCGGGAAGTTCAATATCTTCATCATCCATATCCATGTAGTCCTCGTCTTCGACGTCTTTGGATGACTTTGCTTTCCTCTTTCGGCTTTCAACATCACGTCGGATGATTGCCTTGTCGTCCTCGGTGAAGCACTTGCGCATAGTGTCCTC